ATGTGGCCACCTGTGTGATCACCACCTGCCTTGGGGACCCAAGCATGATGGCCCAGGACAGGGCCAAAGTGGTGGAGCACTGGATTAAGGTGGCCAAGGTCTGTGAGGGGAGGCCCAGCAGCGTCCCTATGCGGAGACTTGAGAAATTCCTCTGCTGCTTGGTCAGCTCTCAGGACTGAGGCCTGAGGTCTGAGCCCCAGCACAGCCTCCAGGTCCTCTCTGCCAGGGATTCGTGGACCATGATGCATAGGTCCCGGTGTTGGGAGGCTCACTTCCTACCTGACTCCTTCCTTGGGTTGAGCTGGGATCCTCCTCGCTCTGAGAGTTGGTCTTTGGGTGCTAAACGTGCCCTCCCTGAGCATCTGTCCCACCAGGAGGGGGTGTCATTCGAGGGGGATTGAAGCACCAGCTGCAGCTCCCACCTCACAGCCCATGTCTCCCCTTCCCCAGGAGTGCAGAATCCTAAGAAATTTCTCCTCCCTGCATGCCATCCTGGCTGCTCTGGAGAGCGTGGCTGTCCATCGAATGAAAAAAACATGGGGGAAAGTTTCCAGGTGCGTAGGCCTCTCCATCAGAGGAGGCATGGGGAGGTGTCACCCAAATGTCTCCCAATGTCCCCTCACCTCCTGGGAGGCAGCCAACCATGGGGACAGGCACTGGGCTGGTGGGCGGGGTGTCTAAGGCTCCCTGGGACCTCAGGCCACTACCTCTGCTTCAGGAGTCAGTTTCCTTCATTGTCAGAGACGGCATTGAGCCAAATGGGAGATTCTCAGCACCTGAACCGTATGCCCAGTTCAAATCCAAACTGGTTAAAACAGCTGCTCCATAGACATGGAGAGGGGCCAATTACCAGTATGAGAGCCCTGCCCCAGTCTCAAGGAGACCTGCTGCTCAGAAGGAACCCCGAGGCAGTTTGAAACATAACATTGTCAACAAGAATTTTCCTTTAATCAGTCTCCCCCATCTTTCCTAAACATGTCTTTCCTCTTTCCCTCCACTCAGGAAGCGGGCACTTACAATGAAAAAACTGTGCGTGCAAGAAAAACAACTCACTGAGCAGGGAACAGTTCATCAAGGTAGAGGGAGCCAAGAGGTCTGCAGAGAGGAGGGCATGAGGGAAGGGGGGACTGCACAGGATGCGGCTGTGATTTGGTCACTTGAAGATTCTCTGAAAATGTTCACTTTCTTGGTCCCAATTACCCGGAAGAGGGATGTGTTTGGTCCTTGGGCAGGTAGGGTTCGGGGGGCACTTTCAAGGGCAGGAGGCCCCGGTCATGGCACACAGGGTGGTACACAGGCTGTTCCAGGACGGGGTGCAGAGCTGGCACATTGAGCGGGTCTCTGGCTTCCATGCTGGTTCCTCCCAATTGCACTTCGCTTCTTCCAGGCTGTAGGGTGAATGGGTGGGTGGGGGAGGTTTCTTCCCCAAACCAGCCCAGCCTGTCCTCAGGATGCCAGGGCCCTGCTCCCACTTCTGTCTTCTCCACACCTCTAAGGGGAGCTCCCTTCCTGCCCAGGATGGGCCCTGCATGGGATTGCCACGGAAAGGGGAACAAAAGGGCTGCTTGGCCTCGGGTCCTACTGTCTGACCAGAGACAAGAGGGGTGTGCTCTCTGAGACTTCCCACTGCGCCCCTAGAGCACTCGCTGCCAGTCAGTCTCCTTGTGATTGACATGGAGGGGTGACCACCCATGCTACAGGCCTCACAGGGTGGTCAGGAGTTCAAGACAGAACAGGACAGTGCAGAGCTCCCTGCCCTGTGCCACCTGGAGGGCTGAGGGTGAGAACCATGGTGACAGGAATGACACTGAGTCCTCAGGAGAACCTGTGAGCTCGGTGGAGGTCTCCCACTTTCCAGAGCAGGGAACGGGTCAGGGAGCCAGGCCCAGGCCTAAGGTCACACACAGCGAGTGAGCGTTGTAGCTGGGAGTCGTCCAGAATCAGAGCATGCTGGAGTCTGGGTGGCACTGGTACCAGCTGACTTGGGTCAGAGGGCCAGGGTGTGAGGTAAGGGGTGGTGGGGGAAGTGGGTGAGGTGAGCATGACCTCAATGACCCTGTCCTCCACCCTGGTGGAAGCAGCCTTCCAGGTATGCCTCTCTGATGGTCTATGTCCCTGGATCCAAGCCCAGGCTGCCCAAGAAGGTGAGTGAGCTTATCTGGGGGGTGATTAGGGTCATAGGAGGGGGCTCTGTACGCCCAGCTGGAGGCTTCCAAGTCAAGAGAGGGAGGCCTTCTTCCTCCAGCCCCACCTCCTGTGCCCACAGAACCTGAA